GGGGAGCAGTTGAGTAAATTTACTTAGCCACAGTTTTGTCGGTCATGAAAAAATGTTATGTTAATAATAAAATGTGGAAATGCCAACTATCATACAGAAAAGAAAAAGACAGGGTACAATACTGTACACATAATCATAACTACACAAAAGCAAGAAACAAGATGCAACTTGTTCTGATGCAGTTATAATATTTGGTAAAATATTTCCCCCCCCTTTTTTTTTAATCCTCACCTGAGGATACTTTTTCCATTGCTTTTCAGAGAGAGCTTGAAGGGAGAGAGAAAGACATATCAATCAAGCCTGCATCTGAGGTACATGCCCTTGGCTGGAATTGAGCCAAATCATCTAGGGGTATTTCCCTCTCTTTAGGTGAGTTAAGGTGAGCAATTTAAGTCAGATTCTAGTACAACAAAAAAGCCTTTTCAAAATCTCTGTTTAAGGATCTCCCAAGCCCCCAAAATGAGCCATTCATTAATACAATCATTTTTCTGCAACAGTCCAATGTATTAAAAGACAGCTCCTTAAAAAGTTACTATAAGAGGTTTTGAGTACGTGTTTTTTTACCTACACATGCCTTAAAGGCTTGGAATGCAATACCTTTTCTTATAACAAATGTTTCACAAAGGAAAAAAATGGGGTGGGGGAACCTCAAAGTGACCTAAATCTTCAAAATTAGGCACAGCAGCGGTAGTGACCAGGCACAAGAAGAGAGGATGGGGTATGAACTGCGTGGTTAACATGTGTGGTTCCAGGTGGGTACCAGAGTTACTGGGGGATCACTTGGTAAACTGTATGTCTAACCATTATGCTATACACCTGAAACTAATATGAAATAATACTCACTGTCAACTGTAATTGAAAAAATAAAAATAAAGTAAAAAATAACATCACATGCAAATAAACAAAATTCATATTGACATTTCTGTGGTACCTTCAAATCTACCTTCCTCATTCTAATCAATTAATCATTTATTAAGCACCTGGGGCCTTGCAGTAACATTCATTTCAAATCTCGAGGCATTTAATCGCAAGAGGTTTTATAAGGAACAGAATTCTCCTTCCTCCACAATCCCACGTGGACAGTTTTATCATGATGTACTGGAGTGACACTGGCTCTTCTACTGCCTCTTAAGAATTACAGATTGCTCCCAGATGCTTTTCGGGCGATTTCAAGCTTTTCCTCATTCTGTGACTCTTGAATTATGAAAGGGCATCTCTAATTCATGAGAAATACTTCTCCCACCTAAGTGTTCATTATCATCTATCCTCCCCTGACACGCTACATTTTTAAGCATCCCCACACGTATGCTTTCACTCAGGTAACAGGCATCGTTGTGGATCACTCAGGGCTTTACTGGGAACCCCTCCTATATTTTACCATCACGATTCCGCCAGCAGCAACTTCAAAGGAAGCTGAGTCCTCTGAGAGTAATGCACAGAATGACATCGAAAGCAAGGTTAAACGGAACTCAAGTAAATGAAAAGGACTCTCTAAAAATTAACTAGGTCTTGATAATTCACTTGGTTCTCTTCTCTTTCAAAAACAAAATATGTCTCCTGTTAAAAAGGGAGGAAGTTGGTAGTTAATGATTCAGTCACACTCAAATCTGTCCCCAGGCAAGTGCTTTCCTTCTAACAAAACATTCTACCTCCACTTAATCAAACTGTATCCATGCTAACAATCCTTCCATGTAATAGCTATGTCACATCCCTAATTTCAACAGAGGAACAAAACTGAAGCTCATTTCCAGATGGCATAAATTCAAGTGAATTCAGACCTCTATTGTGCTGAGTTCAGAAATCAGCTAATAGGGAGTGCACAAAAGACACAGCAAAGCCAACAAATTAACACTGGGGAGGGGAGGGAGGTTGATGATAATTAATATTCACATCATGGATTTCTCCCTATATCAGTAAAACAAATGCAGGAGGTGTGGATTTATCCATAGCACTGTATTAATTGACCTGTGTTATAATCAAGTGCTTTCCTACGGGGATATTAACAAATCAATCAACGAAGACAAAAGTCTCAACTCAACCAGTTTTCAAATACCTGGAGTTGACTATGAGCTAATTATTGAATAATTTCATTATCCAAAAGAGCTTAACTGAGACACAAGGTTATAGTCATATGTGGGAACTTACAGAGTAGAACAAAATATTCAACATAGGGCCACAATCATCCCTGATTTGATTACGTATATTAATAGTAACTCTGCCTATTAAAATGGATGAACCTAAATCCAATCCCTAAATTTTACAAATGACAAAACTGAAGCAGAGGAAAGCTGAGTGACCTGTTCAAAATTAAGTAGCTGGTAAATGGTGAACACAAAGGTAGAATCCTACCTTCCAACCCACTACAATAAGTTCAGAATTTCTCAACTAGCTCCCCATTCCTCCCCCGAACAACAAAACTTTTAAAAGCTTTGGGAAAAGTTGAATCAAATGANGCAATGCTCTTCTCTACAATAAGTTCAGAATTTCTCAACTAGCTCCCCATTCCTCCCCCGAACAACAAAACTTTTAAAAGCTTTGGGAAAAGTTGAATCAAATGAACCTTCAATCTTTCAATCTTCAATTTCCATTCAATCCATCCCTGAGATTTTTACATTCATCATATAGAATTCTCTTTTTTACCAAGAAACCCAGTGTAACTTAGATGACTTTGGGAGGGTCTCAACTGCAAAACAAATTCGTGAGTTGCAGCATATCACAGAGGAGTAAAAGGAGAGAGAGACTACAGGCATCTGAAAAATAAACCCAAGAACACTGATTTATGTGAATGAATAATGAACGTGTACAAAACCAAAAGTCAAGTACTAAAGTGATGTTTCCCAACATGACAACTATTTGTGAGATGTTTCTTAAAGAAAAAAAAAAGTAGTAGCCATTGTTTAAGGTTCTATATTCAAATAAATTTGGAAAATGTTGTATTTTAAAAATCCCTCTTGAATATTCACAAAGTACCTAATGTGGATTAGGCTCTAAGAAGGCCTGTAGGAAAGAACGCTGATTTGTTTAATCCAATGCTTCCCAGTCATATTTGACAGCTTTGGCTGGCAGAGCTTGTACAGGCATCCTCCAGGAATCATTTCCTACTATATTTTGAGATGCATTTAAAATCAGTAATTGATATTAGATTTTATCAGATGCCTTTTCTATAAAAATTATATTTTTTGTATTTAATACTTATATTTAATAAGATGAATGTCATTAATAAATTTTATATTACTGAATTCTTCTTTCATTCCTAAAAAAATCCTCACTTGTGATGGTGTAGTATTCTTTTAATGTGTGCA